ACGCCGGCGCAGAGCAGGCGCCGAGTAAACGCCGGGCGGTGTCACGTATTAATTACTCAGTGGCCGGTATTACTGCGCAGCCCGTTTGTAGCTGTGACCCCAACTCGCGCGCGAAAGGACAGCCTTCGCGTGGAGAGGGCAGGGGGCTGTGTGCGTCAGGCCAGCCTCTCGGGCCTCCCACGATCCGTCCCCAACGGCCCTCCGGTTTCACCCCAGCCTCCAGGCTTTGGGTGGCGCGCACGAAGGCGCCCCTCGCGGCTCCGTGCAGGGACCCAACGTCCGCGTGCACCACGACCCTCGGGGGTCCGTTTTCGTTTTGTGCAGCAGCAGCAGCAGCAGGGCTTGGTGGCCAGATGGCGGCTCGGAAAGCCGCTGGCCGCGGCCTGGATGGGCGTGGGGTGGTCGCCCCTGCCTCGCTTGCGCGCACGAGGTTGTGCTCGGCTTCGTGTGCAGTGTGCGGTGCAGCCCCGCGCATGGGGTTTTCGCTTCCCCCCGCTTCCTCCTCCCGAGCTGCACTCGTGGGATCCGGGCGTTGCTGCCCCGCAGGCAATCGGCCCAGCGCGCCGCTCGCGGGGTTCCCCTGACCCCGAGACCCGCCCCTGCCTCGCTCGCGCCCCACTTTCTGGGAGGAAACATCAGCGTGTGTGTGTCCCAGACCCACCCACAGGGAGGACCCTCCTCCGAAGTTTTGGGGGGTCCTCTGGGCTCGTCGGAGGCGGCCGCACGGATAGCCGAGGCGCCTGCTTGGTGAGGTCGGGTCTGCGGGCCTCGGGGCGGGGCCAGAGGAGGCGGGGCGCAGCGGGGCGAGGGCGGCTCCCCCCTCCCGATCCCGCCTCTGCGTTTCCGAGCCCACCCTGGGCTGTGGTGGCCGGACGGTATTCTGGGGACGGGCCAGGAGGGACGACACGAGTTGCTCTAGCCTTCTGAAGGGTCCCCGCCACCCTGGCTCTAGGCAAAAGGGGCGCCCAGCTCCCGGCCCCAAGCTTTGGTTCCTCACACACCCCGGCGGGGGCCTCCCAGCCCTTTTTTACCACGGAGAAAAGAGACCCCGACTAGCTGCCCTGCGCCGCAGTAACCCCAGGCCTGTCTGCGTCGCTGGGCCCTCCCTGGCCGCCTCCGGAACGCTTGGGGTCGCGAATGGAACTGCCGACTGACTCCACTGGCCGCAGTGTGCACAGCTCTCAGGGAACCCGGGCCAGGGGTGCGGGGTGGGAGACCGGGGTGCGGTTTGGGAGGACCCTGGGTGAGTTTGGGGACGCGCGCTGGGCGTGCGGGTTAAGGGCAGCCTCTTTTCCACGCTCTNGCAAACATGAAAAGAAACTTCGCGGTGCCACTCACTGTAGTGAGCTTGGGGCGCCGTGCCTCCCGCGGAAGTCCAGGGCGCGTGCTGGAGGAGAGCGTGGGGGGCCATCACCCTGACTCCCCCATGTCACCACCCTTCCAGAGGCAGTCGCCCTCTCAGCCGGGAGAGCCCGGGGGCCATAGCTCCGAGGTGCTGCCAGGACCTCTGCCCACCGGCTGGCCGCCCCATCCTAGGGAGGGTGGCAGGTGGCTCCCTCACAGGGACTGTCACCTCTCTGCTCCCTGAGGAAGCCCCGTTCCTGCCTCCCACACTTTCTCTCTGTTTGCTTTTCTCAGTCGGAGAGCGAGGAGAAGGTTGTCACCTATGACCACATCGGCCCCAATGTCTGCATGGGAGACCACAAGGTGATGTGACCTGGCTGTGACCCAGGGGAGGGACCCGGGGGGCTGGCTGCACGGTGGGCGGGCGGTGGGGGGAGTGGCTGCTTCCTGCCTCCATCTTCTGGCTTCGCAGAAGAGGCCAAGTTGTCTGTTTTCATTTCATTTTAATAAAATACCGGGAGGTAGATGGGTAGGTAGAGAAGCAGAAACGACTAGTCACAACGGAATAAAATACACAGTTTCACTATTTTAAAAAGTACTGTCTACAGCTGACTCTCTCTTAGGCCATTTCTCCTGTGTGCGTTTGAAGTATTTCATTGTCCTTATGCCAAGCACGCTGTCAGCAGCACCGTGGTGAATGGGTATCCCGGTCAGCACTTCAGGGAGAAACAGCAATTATTAGAATGGGGACTGAGTTTGTACAAGTCACTGTCCCCAGCCATCCTCACTGAGGGGTTACGCTGGCAGCAGGTGGTGACCCCCAACCAAACCGGAGACGTACGCTTTCCCATTTTCAAGTCCGATGGGCCGCGACCCCTGGGCGTGTCATCCTGAGACACAGCTCCCACACTGGTGGCCGGCAGGAGCAGACCCCAGGGTGGGCACTCTGTTCCCACCCCTGCTATTGGGGGGCATATTCAGCCTTTAAATCTGCTTTTACGTGAGTTTTTGCCTGGAAATAACATGTTTAAAACCACAAAGGCACTTTGCCGGGGCCTCTGGTGGCCCAGCCCGGCCATTCCCTGTGACACGGGCTGGGTGCCCAGGGGACGCACCCTTCACTGACGCGGTCAGCAGCTCCCTGCCTGGTTCTGATGCCCCCTCTTCTCCCGCTGCAGCCCGTGTTCCTGGCTTTCCGTGTGGCGCCCGGGGCAGGTAAAGCTCACACACATGTGCCCAAGTGTTGTGTCGTGCAGTGACGTGGTGGTAAATATGACTCCTTCCCTCGAGTTCACCTTTTCTGAGCTTCTCCCGGTGTGTTTGTCCCTTTAACAAACCACTGATTCCACGGCAGGGAAGAGATGCCAGCGACATGAGAGGACCCCTCGCGAGCCCTGCCTGTAGCCGAGCAGCAGGTGGAAGTCACCGTCCCTTGAAGTCCACACTCAACAGCTGCATCGATAAACCCGCCAAACGCCACCCGCTAGACGGCCGGCCCCACACTTCGCTTCAGCCTCCGGACCATCCCGGGGGAGCGTCACATACCTCACCGTCTTGTCTGTTCATGTGACATTAAGTAGAAATATTGGTTTTTTTCTAATAAGTCACAGTCCTGTTGCCAAAACTCTAATAGACAGCAAAGAGACTCTGTATTTTACATTCACAGTTTTCAATTTTAATCATCGTCAGCGTGGAAGAGCTTCCCCACAGGTGTCAAACGTCCCCTCTGCCAGCTGGAGGTGTGCCCAGGGCAGGGCGACGGCGGGGCTCTGGGCTGACTCAGGCAGTGTGGTCACTGGTAGGACGCCGGGGGCGCCCTTCGACTCACTCCCGATGGCCCCCCTTCCGTGTTATTCACTCTACTGCCATGTTACATGGTTTTTGAATCACACTGCAGCTGCTTTCCATTTTTATATATAAATATATATAAATATATACTTTTTAAAATAATTTATAAATCTTACCAAAACTTATGCTAAATCTACTTTCCAGTATGAGTGCTTGAGAGTCATGTCGGTAGCTAGCATTGGAGTCAGGATGCCACACGCAGACCCACGCAGCAGGCGACATGGCCTGGCCGTGCATCGCGGGCACGCGGCTCGAGCACGCCCACTGCACTAGCAGCTTGCCACACCCCTGCCTCCGGTGTAAGAGTAAGAACTCAATGTGAAGTTATAGCTAGCTTGGGTGTACCTTTTACGAATTTTGTAAACCGTTTTGTCTGTCTTTTGTTACTGTTCTATGGTGCCAAGTATTCTCATAAAACAATAATACTATGGGAGACGTACAAGTAGGCTAGTCTGCTTCCAGTAGAAATCGCTGTTAACATGGGCTGTATATAAACATTCAGAGAAACAGCTGTACATTTCCTTGGTTGCTCAGCTGCCAACGCCCCGTGTAATAACCTGGCCGCAAACGTTTTCAAGCACTGAGCACAGCACTACGAGGTGACGGCAAAGCCTGTGGATGAAACACAAGCGTACGTTTTATTGATTTGCTTCAGAACACTACAGAATCCCTGGGCCGGGCGAGCAGCAGGCACACGCTCGTTTTACACAGATCACTACCAGTGCGAGTCATTTGGTGTCCGCTTGACGATCCGCTCGGGCTCTGGGCCAGTGCTGCCGTCACTCTGCTCTGCCCGCCGGCCACACGGCGATTCTGATAAACGGGGCTCCCGCTGTTGGTCACTGTGGAGGCCTTTAGAAATGACCGCTCCAGTTCCTAAGCAATAAAATTGATCATGGTGAAAACAGTCCGCCTGGCTTTGTTCCTCGCCTCCGGTGCCCCGTCCCCTTTGAGAGGCCGAGGGGCAGGACTCGGCCCCTTTGTAGCCCATTTCAGATCAAGCCCATTCCAAATCCTGGAATTTCATTCTATCACAAACCTAAGCCTTAGCTGAGAGCAGAAAAATAATCTTTTGGCTTTTTTACTGTGGTGGCACTGATGGGATTTACCCCTCAGCATTTTTAAATGAGATTATGTAAATGCGCTGCTTCCCTCAAAACTTTAAAGCTGCACATTCCTTTGCTCTCGACTGGAGCTGAGAAGCACCCACTCGGAGAGAGAAAATACGTTTTAATATTGCTCCCTTGAAAACCAGCCAGTGGTTCAGAAGGAGTGTCTTTTTTTAATAAATTGATGGGACGGCCACATGGCAAAAAACATCAACAGCCTTCTCTATGTTTCTCTCTAACGTTTTCAAAACCACGTCCCAAGAGAAAGCTTGTAATAATAGAATCATTTGTATTTAACGTTTTAAATTAAAAGAACACTTATGCCCATTAAGATGCAACACGCGGAGCCTGGGCCACAGAGCGTCTGGATCAGATGGTCTTTTGTTAACGGGACAGAAGTCGGGGCGGCGGTAACGGAGCAGCCCCGGGGCCCCCGCGGGGAGCGGGCGGGCGAGCGGAGGGCTCCCCGGGTTCCGCCGGCCCCGTCCTGCCGGCTGGAGGGCGCAGGCCCCGGCTGCGTCCCAGCCGCCCCGACCTCCGCGCTCGGAGCCCCGCGGCCCCGGGCAGCGGGCGGACCTGCGGCCTCGCGGCTCACCTGCCGGCGCCCCGCGGCCCGGGGTGGGGACAAGGGGGCGCCGCGCCCCGGGTTTTCCGAGAGGAAGCAAGACGCGCTGCGGCCGGGAGCCGCGCTCCGACGGGACGTGTTAAATAATTTATTGACGATACAAAGTGGAGCGCCCGGGCCGCGCCGCCTCACAACTTATTCCGTAGAAATATAGACACACGTCCGGCTCACGAGGCGTCCGCGCCGCCGCCGCCGCCGCACGGGCTGACCAGCGCCAAGTTCGAGGGTTTGTGCTTCTTGAGCAGCCGCGTGATCTTCTCGTCGTCCGAGTTGGGGTCCAGGGGCCGGTTGTACTCGTCGTCGTCCTCCGCGTCCGAGCCGCCCCCCTTCAGCTTCTCGGCGTCCGAGTCCTGCTTCTTCTTGGCCGACGCCATCTCCGCCGCGTGCCGCTTGCGCCACTTGGTGCGGCGGTTCTGGAACCACACCTGGGGGCGGGGGCGGCGTCAGGCGGCGCCCCGGCCCGGCCCTCGCTCTGCGCCCCGCACCCCCGGGAGCGGCCGCGGCCGCGCGCGCATTCGCAGGACGCGGGGCGCTCACCTTGACCTGGCTCTCGGTCATGCCCAGCGAGTAGGCGAGGCGCGCGCGCTCCGGGCCCGCCAGGTACTTGGTCTGCTCGAAGGTCTTCTCCAGCGCGAAGATCTGCTGGCCCGAGAAGGTGGGGCGCGAGTGCTTCTTCTTGCCGTCCTTGTCCAGGGCCGCGCCGGCCGGGGCTGCGGGGGAGAGCGCGTGAGTGCCCGGCCCGCGCCCCGACCCTGCGCCCCGACCCCCCGCGCCCCGCTCACCCGGGCCCCGCTCACCCGGGCCGGCCAGGCGGGGGTCCCTCCAGGGCGAGCCCGGCACCACCCCGGGCCAGAAGATGGGCGGGCGCCCCGGCAGCTCGGCCAGCGGCTTCGGGTAGCCGCGCGCCACGGCGGCCGCGGGCCCGAAGTAGACGCCGGCCGACGACGCGAGCCCGTTGAGACGGGGCAGGCCGCCCAGGAGGCCGCCGCCCGCCGCGCCCACGGGCCGCCCCAGGATGTCGCTGATGCCGTGCGGGGTGCCGAGCGGCAGCTGCGCGCCCAGGCCGCCCAGCGCGGGCGCCTTGAAGCCGGCCGGGCCCTGCAGCGCGTACGGGAACAGCGACGTCTTCATCTCGGCCATGTTGTGCAGCGCGGCCAGCGGCGCGCTGCTCAGCACGAACGCGCCCGGCCGGTTAGCGTCCATGGGCGCCGCCGCCGCCGGCCCGGGCGCCCATCCGGCCCGGGGAGTCCGTGCNGTCAGAGGGGCCAGCAAAGGGGTCAGGGGGTGCGCACCAACCCGGGGCTTCCGGGCGGAGGGACACGCCCCCTTCCTTCATGTCGCCTGACAGAGGACACAAGTGGACCGAGCCAGAGCTGGGAGGGTCCCCTCACCTGCAGCACACAGGTGCCTCTGCTCTGGTCCACGTATCTGTGCATCTCAGGTCCCTGGCTGGGGACAGGGCCCCGCCTTGATTCCGAGGAGAAAGGGGAGGTCCGGCCGGGGAGGGACCGCAGGGCCCCCAGGGCCCAGGGCTGCGCAGGCCTCTGAAGGTCACTGGGGAGAACGGTTGCTTCCTCGGCCGGGACGGGAGCCCACCCAGAGGGGCTCATTCGCACGCCAACGTCCTCCCTGGAGTTTGAGGTGGGAGAAGATGCTGGTGTCTGTGGCGGGCAGGAGGGGTGTGGGCCGAGCAGGTCACTGCTTCCTGACCCCCAAACCCCAGCGCTGGGGCCACCGAGACCACACAGTAGTGGCTTGGTATAATCATTTACTTGAGCATCTGAACAGAAAACAAACCCGCCACCCAAGCATCCTGGTCCGGGAACCATGCGCCTGTCCCAGGGAACAGCGTTTGCATCAGCCAGGAACTGTCTTCTGAGGGCCCAGCCTGCTACTGAGGGCTCCCGGGAGGTGGTGACCCTGTCCAGGCCCCTGGGTATAGACGCGCCCCCACCACAGGGCAGGGGACGGTCCTGGGTGTCTCAGGTGGTGGCAGGTGGCTCCCGGGCAGAAGGGGCTGCAGCCCAGCAGGTCACTGGAGAAGCGTGGGGCCGGGCTGCACGGGGGCTGGGAGAGCCCGGGGTGGCGGAGGGGCTGGGCCCGGCGGGTTCGGAGGGATGTCACACGATGGCTTGGATGTCACACGATGGCTTGGTTTGGCAGCCCGTACAGCACCAGGTTGAGGCTGATGGGGAGCCGCTCAGGGCCTTGCAGCTGTGGCAGGAGGGACATCAGCCTGTCCTTGAAGGTCCCCGGAGCCTCACCTGAGGGGAGACAGATGTGCTCATGAAGTTCTCAGCAGCCAAGGGCCACACGCGTGGAGGGTGGGGAGGCGGGGTGCTCCTGGCTCTGCCTGCGGACGTGTCCTCACAGACGGGGACACCGAGGCCGGAGGACTGATGGTGCCGGGACCTGACTGCCTGACACCACACCCCGGCACTGAAGCAGCAAGACTCTGACGATTCTACCAGCAGGGGGTCTCTTCCTGCCACCATTCAGCTGCCACCCGACTGGGGGGGGGGTTGCACTGACATGGTTCTGTGCCTGCCTTTGCACGAGGCATGTGGTGGCACATGACCACCGTGCCCTCCCTCTGCTGATGGAGAAGTCACCGGCGGCTGCCCTTCACCCCCCAGAGCTGCGCCTTCTGTCCCCGTCACCTGCCTGTCCTGTGACCCGGACCCTCGTCACCCTCATCCACCTGCTGACACTGTTCACTCTCACTCACTCTCGCGTTCAAACAGCATCTACTGCTTGGGAGCGACATCCCAGGCAGTGGACGATGTGATTTCAAAACTGTAAGCTCCTTTTGTGTCGCCTACTTGGAAGAGTTCGTGATTTTAATCATCCTGGGATAAATCTCCTACTTATGGTGGATTATTCCTCTAACAGACCGCTAAAGCCATTAACAAGCGTCATACTGAAGTTTTTACACCAGTTTCCCCGTGTGAGGCTGTCGCCAGAGTAGCTTCTGCTCCCAGGCCGCACACCTGGGCTTTTGAAATTTGTTTGACTTGAACGGTTTTAAAGCAGATCTAATGACCAGTGTGTTTTTCCCTGAGTTTGGATGCCAGGCCTCACTGGCGGCCCTCGCGTGCAGGAGGCCGAGGCCCACGTCACGCACGACCTGCAGAGGCCGTGCGGAAGCAGAGATGGGAACGCTGGCCCTGCAGGGCTGCAGGACCGGGGCGCGAGGTGGCGGCAGCCTGGCCTGCAGGGGCGGGCAGGGAGGCGGGGGTCTCGTTACCGTGTCTGGCCATCACGCCGGCTTCCATCTTCTGAAGGAGACGGACCGCTCTCCCCGTCGGCTTGCCAACCGTCAGCAGATCTGAAGGAGAAAGCTCCCCTCAGGCGGCGGTGTGGGCCCCATGGACTTCTGAGGGCCGGACCTGGGGCCACACCCACTCACTTTCCCACAGGACGCTGGCCCGCAGTGCGTTGTCCCGCAGGAGGGCCGGCCACTGGTTCGCCAGGATGCTGCTGACCCCTGCCAGGCTCAGAAGGACGGCGGTCTCCACGGGCTCCTCCAAGGACAGCTGGGCGGCACTGCAGGGGACCCGGCTCCGTGGACCAGAGCCCTCCCCCATTCCAACCCAAACGCCATCAAGGGCTGGGATGTGTGTTTGGACTGACAGCTCTTAAACTTCCTGAAAGAATTAAGAATTCTCCCCACACCCCAAACTTAAATACCACTTAACAAGAAAAGGCATTTCAGAGCTGCCAGACCTTGTGCTCCCCTGCGTGGGCTGAAGCCAGGAGGGGGACGTGTCCTCCGTGAGAGGGACGTGTCCCGCTGGGCCCCCTGGGCAGCCCACAGGCTGCACGTGCTGCGGGGCACTTCCCCACCTGCCGGCCCACTGCCTCCTGGCCCAATTCCCGTGGCCTCGAGGCTCCAGCCGGGCCTGTGGTCAGTGGCTGGAACCGACCTCTCTCCGAGACTTTGCCAGGGAAGGGTCTGGGGCAGAGGATGGGCGCCTGGCTCCCTCGTGGGACTCTGCCCACGGTGTGCAGATACTCTGTCCCTCACACCCCCAGGGGGCACACACCCGTTGCTCATGCTCCCCAAGCTCCCCCCATCAGTCACCCCCAAGCCAGGCCCCCATGGCGCCCGGGCAGGGGACACAGGCACCTCTTGCTCTCCGAGGACTCCGTGTGCCGCCGCGCGCTCTCGTAGGACCGGGTGCGGTCCAGCAGGACCATCATGCGGCAACCTGCAGGACACAGGAGGGGCCGTGCAGGCCGGCGTCGGCCCAAGGCCCTTTCCTGGGACCCACTGGCCACACGGCACACGGGACGTTATTAGCTCCAGGGGCCCCGCACCCTTCACTGCCTCCTCGTGCGACAGGGCCCAGTACTCCCCGCCCGGCGAGGAGTCTCGGCTCGCAGCGTGCCACGCTGAAAAGGTATCGGACTTGCCCCAGCCACAGGCACATGATGACGAGCTGGTCACCTGGGCTCCGGTGCCACTGAAGCAGGTAACACGGAGTGGCATGCGAGCCCCACGGATAAGAGCCCACCCGCACCTCCCACGGAGGCCTGGCTGGGCTGGGCTTCGGGCAGGCAGAACCTGCAGCGGCTCAAACACAGGCCTTGGCAGGGAGCCCAGGGGCCCGGGGACGCTGCCACCCCTGCAGGCACCTGTGAGCCTCACAGTTCTTGGATTTCACTAGCCCCCCATTTGAGAAGGCTCGGAACTGCAGCTTCACAGAGGGTGTTTCCACCTCCCCTTGGGGTAAGGAATCCGCCCAGGTGACATGCTTATGGGCTGGGGTGGCGGGCTGGAAAGGAGCCTGGCATCAGATGACAGGGATGGGCTCAGGTGCCCTGACCATGGGACAAGTGTCCTCAAAGTGGGGGGCATCTTTCAGGGGTCCCTGAAAAGGCCGCCAACCACTCACATGGGCATCTTGGTGGCAGGGGTGGCTACCTGGCAGCCTCCTGGACTACTGGTGACAGCAAGAGGGAAAACAAGGCCCAGAGCACCCACACTTAGGCTCGAAGGACTGGGGGGAGGGCTGTGAAGTGCCCCCCAGCCTCCTGGACTCTGTAGGCTCAGGCCCGGAGGGTGCCCCCCAACTCCTGCCCCTGGCTGAGCCTGCCAGGTTTGGAAATCTGAAGCGGGGCATCTGAGAGAGCAGGGGGGCCTGAGGGCAGGAGTGCTGTCCCCGGGGCCCCCCGAGGCCCTTCGTCAGGCTATGACTCCTGACTAGATGCGGCCGGCTCCGCCCCCGCGCGTCCTGGGTATTCATTGTGTACCCACAGGTCCCGGCAGAGTCGGGCTGGGGTCCTGAGAGGACCCGGCTCACCTTCTAGGTTCATGGCGGCCAACCGTTCCACCAGCACGTGGGACAGGAAGCTCTCCATCCCGTAGAAGAAGAAGCCTTCGCAGCTGCCCAGGAGCTGCTCCCACTCGGCCTGGCTGCACAGGGAGAGTGACCCGGTGTGCGGGTGGCCAGCCGGGCGCGGAGGGGTCCGAGGGCAATGCAGCCAGGACCCGTCGTCCTGAAGCCCTCGGCACCGCGGGCTGCAGGTGACACACTCGGGACGTGCCGTTGAAGCCAACACCGTCCTGTTCCGTCCTCCCGCCACACCCCACTTCTTTGCTAGGACAACGCCAGCGCTCACGCCCATGGGGGACCCTCTCCGTGTCTGCCTCTCAGGTTCCCTGGCTGGCTGGTCCAGCCGGCTCTCCTGAGAACGGACCTGGTGTCCCTGGGGTAAACTCATGTCACTGGCCTGTGGCTCTGGAAAGTGCTAGAAGGACGCTTCCCCGACTGCCACGCATGC